ATGTTAATTACCATAAACACCAAAAACCCAAGTAATTAGACTATTGAGCGTGTTCTATTGTTTTTCCCTTTCGAGAAGGAGCAATCTCGAGCAGGTTATGGAGACGTATGACACGTACAAGGAATCAATTGTCGAGAAGGAACAAGAATATACAAAAGGAAGCGATAGTTGGGCACACGCATTCAAAGAAGCCGAGCTCAATCATGGTGAAGAAATTCCAACCAATTCTAAGAAGTTAGTTAATGATGATGACGATGATGGTGCCGTTGATATTGCACATGAGTTGAACTTTTAGGAACGTCCTGAAAGACCGATAGATGTATTTATATGCATCGAGGTTGACGATTCCGAGAATAGGAGGTTAGAAAATTCGTTAAACAGAGAGCAACGGGCGGTGTGCGATCATATTGTGTGTCATATTCGACTCAACGAGCACCCTTTACATCTTTTCATAACTGGAGGTGCAGGTGTTACCCATTTCTCAGAATAGGATGCTTTTTAATCTATCCTCTAGTCGATTAAATACATTGACTACTCGTTTTAGTGATGTCAAAGTCGTTGTTGTTGATGAAATTTCAATGCTCGGCAAGCATACAGTATGTTCCAATGGCTGGATTGGTGTTTGAGGGAACTCCGTGGTGAGTCACATATAACATTTGGTGGGTTACATGTCATTCTTGTTGGTGATATGTTTCAATTACCCCTTGTTCCTGATAGGTATTGTTTTCCCGAGAGTGCTTCACTGAATTCTATGGTTGAAAATGTTGTATGGATTCTGTTTGAGATGGTTGAGCTAACAGCCATCATGCGACAAAGAGAGGAACAGGAGTTTGCAAAGTGTCTCAATCGTTTACTCGAAGGTAAGCAGGCAACTGACGATGTTTCATTATTTACTTTGTTAAACCGTCCTAGTCCTGGTAAACTAGCAATGCAGCATATTTATTGCAGGAATATTGACACTAATGCACATAATGCCAGTGTGTTTGATGCATCAGATATTGAGAAGTATGTGATACCGGCACACGATTAACATCTGTTTGATAAATCAGCTCGTCGTGATAAAAGTCCATCAAGGTATGCTTCATCTGATCCAAAAAAAACTTCAGGCTTGTATGCATTTTTTCACTTGTTTGTCAACTGTAAAGTCCATGTTGTACTGAATGTGGATACCACTGATGGGCTGGCAAACGGTACTCATGGGATCGTTAAAGCGTTCACGAAGGATGAAATGGGTGAGATAATAATTGTTACGGTACTTTTTGATGATGTGCATGTGGGCACTAGAGTGCGGCGTAATGGTCATCATTTGTACTCGAGATGGAATGTCTATGATACAAGATATACTCCAATCGTCAGGTGTAAGTGTCTGTTTTCGATCAACCGAAAGTGTGATGAAATATCGAGATCACAATTTACATTACAGTCAAGTGCGGCGATTAGTGTGCACCGTAGCCAAGGCTGCACATTCGATTCCGGTGTTGTACATTTTTATCGAGCAATATTCCTCCATGCAGCGTATGTCGCGTTAAGTAGATTTAAGACTCACCAAGCTCTTTTTCTGGAAAACCTTTCGGCAAACTCTATTCGAGTGCATAGGGAAGTTACCAAAGAAATGCAACACTAACGTAGGAGCCCAATAATGATTTATCCAGTTCCAGTAGAAGTAATTGCAATGTCCCAAGCACGAGCCAAATTTGTCTTCCATAATATACGTACATTAAAAAAGAGTGCATCTTAACATCATTAATATCATTAAGATCGTTTGATTTTGTTGTTTTCATTGAGACCCATCTTTCACCAAATAATTCTCACGATATTGCATTTAAGAACCTTTGTGTGTTCCATCAAGATTGCCATTTCGGGGGAATGCTGGTTGCATACAAAAACGAGCACATTTCGATTATTTACCATCAAGTATTTGATAAAGTGCAAATCATTGTCTTGCGATACATATCTTTACCAAACACATTTGTTGTTTGTGTTTATCGTAATCCTCAAGCATCTCATCTATGTTTTTATTCCTCATTGCTTCAAGCTATGGATACAATCCCAAAGGGAGATATTAGCATTCTTGGTGATCTCAATTTCGACACAAGGAAGCCTCTTCCAAAGCATTTGATCAAAATCATTAACAACTTTTTGTTTACTCACTGTGTTCCATCGTCACCAACTATACGTAATACTTTGATTGATCATGTATGGCTCGATCGTTCAAAATTTGAGGTTGATGTAAGAGTTGGTGAGACCTATTTTAGTTATCATTTCCCTGTATTTGTTCTTTTAAAATGACTTGAGCTTTGACTTGCAGGCCATCTTCCATGTGACCAGCTATCGCTCCTACAGGTGAGAATTTATGCAAATTTTCATATCCACACTCACGCATGTGACACACTTGCTACCACTTCCATAAGGATGAGCATAATGCTATGATTCTACTATCATTCCCAATGCTCAACGTTCGCTGTAATGTTTCTTTCACAACCATGATGTTGACTTTGGTACTCAAGATCTTGCTATATACTGTATATTTTTGTGAAACTTTTGCTTTGTAGCTAATCTGATTGTTGTTGTTAACTACATTAAAATTTGATGTTATTGGCATTACATTGTTGAGCAGGTTCCAGCAATCAAGACCTTTGCCCAGCTTACGTCTCTTCTACGTGAAAGCAAGGAGCCAACGAACTTCATGGTTCGAGCGATTATCATTGGCGTACAGCCTCATAATTTTGAGGATGCTGGTCATCGAAGGTTCCCTGCCAAGTTGTATTTGATGGACTCTGCTGGCCCCTTGATCGATCTGAATTTATGGCCGGAGGGATCATGGACTGTGGTGAAGTGTTCTGAGACTCTCGAAGATTTCGTCCTTGGAGCAACCTACGATATCTTTGGTCTCACCATCATGTTCCCTCCGCAAAAGGGGTAAGCGGTATACTGATGAGTGCTTGTTTGCGCATGTTGTGACATGTAAACCCTATCTACGAAGTTGTGTAGATTTATGCTGAAGTCATAAGTGTTGCACATGTTCACGTTCCCTGCATATTCCCATTGCTCGAATGTATTCAGTTTTCCCTTGTGTACACATAGTTGTCCACGTTTATCCTTATGTTCAGCCTTCTTTGTTTCATCCGATAGTTTTCTCCCGTTTAACATATTTTACTTTTATTTAATTCTGACCTTTTTTATCACTTTGTTTTTGCCTCTATACGCTTGTACAACCTTTGTGCCTTGACCGATTCTTACCCCCCAGTAATTGGCGTAAACATTTCAGTAGGTCCTTTTCTTATATCTAGTGCCTTTCCCCCTTTGTCTTAACACCTAGTTTCTAGTTGTTACCCAAGTACACACTTTTTCCCCTTTGTGTCATATCACACTACCATATAGCTCCTTTGTCATGACTATCACTTTTCTAGGTAAAATCAGTAATCTCTTTTATCTCTCACCACCTCTTGTACTTCCTTAATCCTTTTAAATCATCTTTAAACCCTTTGTACCAAGACAGGGATTCAGTTCATGACAAGAAGCCAGAGCTGAGGTGGGAGCATGACACATCGCATGCCCACATGACTACACAAGAGTGGTGCATCCCGCTTACCATATTTACACCCACTCCACTCTCTGTGCTGTTTGCAAGGAACCCATCAACACCTCACGTGGTACGTACAGATGTAACTCCCATTATTGTTATATTTGCTTGATTCTCTTGTTTGTCGAGTAAAATTAAGAATTCATGGTGCATCGAAAATGCTTCCCTTTATTCTTGTACTGTTGTGTACTCTGATCACGCAAATCACTACCGCCATGTCTCTTCTTTCATGATGGAGCTGACCGTGGCAAAAGTGGAGCCCGGCAATCTCATTCGAGCAGTGTGCTCCGTGCAGGATCAGAGTGGGCAGTTCGGGTTGACAGCATTAGGCTCAAAGGCTGATGTCATCAACATGATTGTGAGGGAACAACAGATGATCACAGGGGTTCTCGTGGCCCGGACCCCTATTGTGGTGTGGATCACGGAGCTATACGTGAAGGACGAGCTGATTGTGACCACCAGGAGGTATGTGATGATAAGTAAATGTTTACGGTATTGCGTTTATTGCGCTCGTATTCCACTCTGCGTTCCACATGTTACGTACTTAGTCATCATCAACATGCACTTGAAACCCCATGCAACTGTTAACCCTTCCCCTTCCAAGAACGAAGGTCATCAAAGTAACGGATGACAACATGATTGCTCACACCTTGGGTACCACACCCCCCCCCCCCCTACACCAACTGATGCTGACATCGGACTTGTCAGTTTGTAAGTTGATTGGGCTGTACTTGATCTATGATTAGGATTGTGTCACGGCTATGTATGAGTGCATTTAGATGAGTTGATATGTACTAAAGAGCTTCATTGCATGGTCTAGTAGCATACAATCTAGTTGTCCCTCTATATTTCCATTTCTTCAGCTTGGCAGGGGTGGAGGATTATGTATACGCAAACGGGACAGTACGAACGTGCACGATATGTGTGGACATTCGAAATACTTCAGTCGATACAGTTTGGCTCTGCATGCACAAGTCTTCAGATGCAAGCGATACCATATGCGGTTGTCCCTGCAAATGGGATTGCACGTTAGATGGATTCCGTTGTCAGCACGACCACGTGTTACCTGATGCATGTCGAAGTGACCATATCATCATTGCTTTTGACACTACTGTAGGTACGTACTTCTCAAAATCGTAAGTCACTTTGTTGTACTGTTGTTACTTCTATCCATTATCTCCTATCCGTAGTAAAAACTCTCTTCTTTTTAGAATCCACCCTGTTCACTGTATTCCATTTATGGTTCCTCTCACTTATTGCTTCAGCCCCAATTGTACACCCTCTACCTTCTTGCCAATTCTATCCATGGCTATAACATCCCACCCTATTTTATGTCTAAAGCGATGTGTCTTACCTCATTCATCCTATCAGACATTCTCCCTTCTACTTTAGTTTACTTGGCATTCGTTGTTTCTTTGTTCTCATTCATATTCTTTGCACTTTTTAATGTTTGCATGACATATGTGATGTGCATTCTTCTGTTGGTCTCCCATGCCACATTGAACATTCGATTAAATAGATTCTAGTTACCTCTCTCTCTCTCTCTCTCTCTCTCTCTCTCTCTCTCTCTCTCTCTCTCTCTTCTCTCTCTCTCTCTCTCTCTCTCTCTCTCTCTCTCTCTCTCTTTGTGGATAGCTGGAAAACTGAAACGTCTAAGCAAGCAGGCCACAGTGAGTCTCAATGCACTCAAGGATGTTCAAGACCTTTTCAATGATGCCATTTGGGCAGAAGCTCAAATTGATGTTAAGAAGAAACTACTGCGTGGGTTGATCGGCCGTTGGCTTGTTCGGGTATGTCAAAGATGACGTGCGTCAGATATATTCAAAATTGATACTTTGCGCACCAACGGCATTGCCATTTCCATTTAACACTCAACTTTTGTTGCCAACATTGTGTTGTTAGGAATCACCTTTTGTCATTATCACACGAGTAATCTTGGTTTTTTTATGCTCTTAGCTAAGCACTTCATTCCATTTTCCTTTTATTTGTTTGCCTGCACAAATTGTGTTATTAACAGATGACAACAAAGGCAGCGGGTCATGGATTTGAAAGGGCAATCATTTCATTCTCTCAAAGGCGTCCAATTGTAAGTAATTCAGTAGATGGCATCACTTTTGGTTTTCAAGTCATCAAGTCACTTGTCCCATCATTTTGTTTTGTCATGTGGTGCAACATTCATCCTAGGAGATGCTGCTTATGTGTCCAAAGCATTCACAATTGATCCGCTAACTCTTGGTGCGCAGGTCCCAGTTGTTAACAACAACAACAAGTCTGTTGCACCAAGTGACACATTGTCAACCCCAAGTACTCCACAGAAGCTCATTTAGTGCCGTGCTGCCAATGTAAAACTTGTACTCGCAATTGTATGCTTTGGGTTTTTTTTTTTTTTTTTTTTTTTTTTTTATTCAATCTGTTTTCCAACATTTGATGTATTCCCTATATCCCCAACCCCCTTTTGTGTCACAGGATGGAATGTCCGAGGAAAGGTTTGCTCAATGTTGCACTATCAATCAGTACAAGGGGCTTTTATACTTCCAGATTACATCAGGTAACCATGTTTATCCTATCCAAAGGGAATAGACCCTTCTAGAAATAGAATCACCATGCGTATAGCCACGCAAGGCTATTGGCTTTAAGGGATTACGGCAGGATTACGCTAGATATAGCGCGCCAGTACATCCGAGCCTGGTCGTGATATAATTATAATAACAGGATAAACCAAAGGATAATGGAAAAGGAGGAATAGGAACCAAATAGATGGGGTAAAGACCAAATGAATGAGGATAAAAGAGGAATGAAATAGAAGGAAATATGGAAAGGGGAAATTGGTGTAACGGGGTCGTACTCTCACACTTCCCCCTCAAGCTGGGTGGTAGAAGTAACACCCTGCTTGACAAGGTAGTCGCGAAGAGGACGACGGGCGTTACCCATGTCGGATTCAGAGACGCAGCCATAGAAGTATCATAACCCTTCCAGCAAAGAAGAAGCTCCGAGTGCCAGTCTGACGATGACGGTATCCAAGTACGTAGTTGTCCCATGTCGTAGATGAACACGGGCGACGACAGTGGCTGGCATTCGGTGTAGAGCGTTTTTGGTCTTGATAGGGTTTAAGAAGCTGGTATGGAGGGCGGTATGGATCTTCCAAGTGGCTGGTAGGCGGAAGCGGGAGGTGAATGAAGTGACCGTTGCTTCAAAGAGGAAAGCCCGTTGAAGCGAGGTCGTAGTTTGGATGGAAGATGACCGATATCAAGATTGCGCGTGTCGAGCAGTACTCGTCTCCCATGGTGATGGTGTGGTCAGGTGGCGTCCGTAATAGAGGAAGTACAGTGTCTGTCCAGATAGCGGCGTCAGGAGCATACTTGTAGGCAAACTCCAGGGCAGATGCAAGTCGGAGTTGGAGATGTGAATGGTTGGAACAGTGTGCTGTAACGTGCAGATTAGTGGCTATGTTGTCCGGATCCGTGCATGCTGTTACCCGCATTGGTCCACGTGTGAAGATCACCAAGTGTTGGTGGTATGGCCGTTGTGTCGTAGTACTGCTTCTGTAGCAGTGTTGTATCTGTTATATGCAGCTTCTGTCGAATGATGGTCCATGCCGTAGTGTTGTCGCGAGTCGTACCCACTCGGCATCGGAGTGCTGCGGAATGGAGAGCAGAATCATAGTAGTAACCCTATCCACCACGCGGTCTGCTAGTCACACTGCCTTGAGTACAACAGCGCATGCGAAGTGCTGCTCAGTGTATCCTTAAGTTCGGAACCATGCGAGGGGCCTGGTACCACAAACGCGGAGCTGGTAACTTCCAGAATCGGCGCCAAGTAGTTTCCCTCGGTGGTTGCTCAAGCAAGGAATCTCAGCTGCGTAGATATCCCATGGTGATGGGTTAGGACATTTTGGAATATTATGGGTATTCCCAAGTAATCCTTTCCCACTTCCAAATGGGCATTGATGACAGCCAATCCAGTATGACCTTATGCACTTCCAGTTTAGCACGGAGGCCATCGGTAGGTCATCAGTGTCTGGGCGCACATATTGGGATAGGTCTTCTGGTGCCATCATGTGTTGTCTCATTCTGTCACTGTCCTTGAAGTAGCGTTGATGTAGAAGATGTCTCAGCTACCCAGCATCAGTGTTGAAGTCTGCTCCATTTCGGCAAACAGGGGTGTTGTTGGAGATACGCGGAGTCCACTATCCGGAGTGGCGTCGGCGCTCCATTCCACGCCTATCTGCTTCCGTGGAGGTGGTGCTGGTGATGGATTGGTTGTGACGCAGGTTTTATGACTTTAAGGAAAGCCCATAGGCCATGAGGACTGTATACCGGTAGCGTACCGTGGTCCTCCCATCCCCATACGAGCAAATATCTTCAGCTCTTGAGGGTGTATGGCATTGCCATGTTGTTTCCTCGCATAGTGGTATCTCCTCCCCACTAGCTGGAAATCATAGTACTGTGCCTGGCCGGGACTTTACGATCATACTGGAATATAATCCAGTGTTATCTCCATTGAGTGGAGAATCATCCATCAGGGTTTGGTTGTGACTGTTGTGTCGAGTCTTCTGCTGCGGCGGCGGCGGCGGTTGCGACGATGGCGACGGCGGCAGCTGCTGCAAAGAATTCTCTCAACTCGTGCCGGTTGAAGGAGAATCCATCAACTCCCTCTTCCCTGTAGAGTGTTCCTGATGGTGTAACAGGCGTAACTACCAGGAACACGTGCACATTGGTACACATGTGTTGTTCCATTGCTGCCGGTGATTGTTTCATTTGAGGGTATGAAGAGAAATTTGCTTCTCCCCTCAATGTATCCACGGGTAGCAATTCCTGGATGCTCATCCGTGCCTCCGATGTACGGTCGGTAGAGCGCGTGATCGTGTTGTAGTAGTCCGCATCTCCCTCATTTGTTGACACCTCGTGTTGCTTGACGTTCTCCTGAATCGTCGAAGTTACGTTGGTGCTTGTAACGCTTCGGCTTCTGGTAGAATCGCCTCCAATGCATGTGCCGTAGGGTCGCTAGTGAACGAGTACTTGCCGGATTAGAGGTTAATTACTCCTCAATCTGTCAAGCATCGTGACATGCACGGAATTTTTTCCACGCAAGTCATTAACACCTGGAATCGCGACGCATGATTGGTGTGTCGCCTCGTGAGGTTGATGTTGAGACTGCTCCAATCAATCACTTCGGATGGCTGAGATTCTTGATGAAGACGAATGTTCAGCTCCTGTTACGAAGTAGTGTCTCGCTGGCCTTGACGAGACGGGTTCACTGCGTCGTCGTTGCGTGCGAAATCTGCTCCTTCGCAGCAACTTGAACTTGGGAGCATTGCAAGAGAAAACGGCTACTTCTCTGCAATCCCATAGGTTGTCGATCAATTTGTATGAAGAAGTGTCTCGTGGATGGAGAACATGTCTTCACGCAGCTTCATTGTTTTTCCTGGGTGAAGATCCTGTCGTGTTGATGTCGATCCATTTTTAAGGAAGATGACTTCGTCGAAATAAATCGATCGTTATCGACACTAGTTAGAAGATGCGTCGATTGTGCAGTCGCTGGTCACGAATGTTGTCTCCATGATGATGATTTCCCATAAGTGTAGTCTCTGCTGCATTCGTGCCGTTGATTCCGCACCGATCCGACGATCCACGTTCTCGTGTCAATTTTCTGCATGCAGATATTACCAAGTAGGTAATACTCTGGCAGATTTCTGACTCTGCAGATGATTTGCGCACCATATTCGTCACCAAATAGAGGAGTCTGAATTTGGTTGTCCAAATGTTGTCGATTGTGTCGAAGGCGGCTGATTTTTGGATCTGCGCGTCATTCTCCCTTTGTGCAGAAGTCACGCTCCATCTCGTCCGTTGAAGTAGAGGTTCATCCGACGGTCCAAACTCCAAGCGATCTGAAGATATTCCTGAGACGCGTTCAGCAGCTTTCAGTGCACGGGTTCACTCGTTTCCTGCACCAATTCTCGGTCGTCGATGTCGGCTGTCGAACGATTGGACGCTCCAAAAACTTCGCGGCTTGCGAGGTCCCGTTAAGATTCGCGCCGAAACGCAACCTCGCTCAGATGGATTTCGTTTTCGCCTCGGTCGATCTGAAGCGTCGAATCTCCATCGGACGGATGTCGTCGGTCGAACCTCCGCAGAGTTCCCCGCAACTCCAAGTGTTGTCGCGAACTGCGAACTTCTCCGAATGTCGCAGGAAGTGTTCCGCCAGATTTGACGCGCTCGCCAGGTCGAGGCCGTTTGCCCAAGCGAAAAATCGGCAGCGTCGATGCATTCCATCGAACGGTTGGCGAGGCATCTTGCCTTCGAAGGGGACCCCAGGTGCAACTGCGAGAGGTAGTCGAAACTTAAATGAAAGTGCATTGTACTTACAGGAATTGAAGTTTCGACTCCATCCTCCGCATGCTCCTGGGGGCCCAGCGGTTAAGCGTTGAGCTGAAACCTCGGCTCTGATTACCAAGTGTCACAGGATGGAATGTCCCGAGGAAAGGTTTGCTCAATGTTGCACTATCAATCAGTTCAAGGGGCTTTTATACTTCCAGATTACATCAGGTAACCATGTTTATCCTATCCAAAGGGAATAGACCCTTCTAGAAATAGAATCACCATGCGTATAGCCACGCAAGGCTATTGGCTTTAAGGGATTACGGCAGGATTACGCTAGATATAGCGCGCCAGTACATCCCGAGCCTGGTCGGTGATATAATTATAATAACAGGATAAACCAAAGGATAATGGAAAAGGAGGAATAGGAAACCAAATGAGATGGGGTAAAGACCAAATGAATGAGGATAAAAAGAGGAATGAAATAGAAAGGAAATATGGAAAGGGGAAATTGGTGTAACGGGGTCGTACTCTCACACTTTGCATTTGTGTTTCATTCCTTGTGTAGGACGTCTAATTGCATTGCCATATTTTGGTCCTCGTTCTAGC